ACACATAATCCTACACAGACTCACATCAGAAAGATTAATGTGAGTAGTGGAGCAGGTTTGCGTCGAATCAACCTTTGCACATAATAAAGACGTTTGGGAAATAAAGCTATTTGAAGAGAACCACTTCAGTCATGGGTGTTCGCGCCAATTTTCCAAGAAGCACGGATGATTCAGCCTATTTCATATTGTGAATGTTGTCGTGCCTGTCAATCAGTTTGAAATAGTACAGCAAACATACGAAAATCAATAGCCTCAATGTTTTCAATCCGGTAGCTAAAGTTATTTTTAAATATTGATTCATTAGCTGGTTTAAACGAATATTCCTACAGTTCCACACAGGCTTCACCTGGATGTGTGTATATTACGCCCCGAACACTCACCACTGAGCTCAACTGTTTAAAATATTACATACCTTTGGATGCTCAGCGAGCTCCATGTATCCGTCATTCGAACCAAAACTTACTAGCAACATCTCAACTTCAGATAACAGAGATGTAACTCTTATAGCAGAAATAGGCACTTCAGAAAGAGGATAATCAGCCCCGTGGAGGACTAACCAGATCAAATACAGAAATATTTATCCCTGGGACAGGAAAATTAATTAAGCTACTTTTCTAAATGTTCCGTTTGTCTTTACTTAAAGAGATTTTGTTCCCGAGTGTATAACACGTAAGACATTCCCGTGAAAGTAAAGAAGGCAGCGAAGCCAAAATTTAAGAGTTGGTGTGGCAGACTGGTATTATTTTACTGTGGCTCAGCCGCAGTAATCAACCGTCAGTCGCGGATTGTAACTGCGCACTATGGGACTGCCCTAGGCAGAACGAAACGAGAAAGCGCCTGCTCACTGAGTCAGCTGAAAATATACACATTTTGAAATCAAAAGCAAAGCACCGAACTCCTAGGTCAATATCTAGCTCATGTGTACTCATAACGCCAACGAATTTGCATTCGTACTATACGGACAGCCTGTGGCTCTGCCGGTGAAGCAGAGACAATGAGTGCATATGCTCTGGTTCAAACAAGTCGTCAGAAAGACATGATTAGTTTGATTTGTTGTGGCATTGTTATTCGGTTCGCATTCACTTTTGTTGTGCTTATGCCAGCCCAGCCACCTTGCGTTATAATGAATAGACTTGCTTAGCGACTCCACATCAGCTTCTAGGCTGACGACGCCTGGTGGTGAAATATACGGGGTTCATATCAAGGTACTTGAGTTTATCATGTGAAAACCACCGTTTGCAAGTGGGGCGACCAAACATGACTGTAGAAGAGGCATACTTGAATTTACAGGACAATGAGCATTTATATGATGAGGGTGTGCGACGTAGGTTAACGTAGGTTTTCTCAGCTAAAATTAACGCATTATTTAGCGCTACCTATCAGAGTTTGACGCTCAGGACCTTCAATATTGTAAAAACTATAAAGAACATGGCCTGTTTTCGAATAGGACAACTGGAACGTGCTTGCTGAAAACGGCAGGCATTTTATCAGCAATGAAATTACAAATCTTTATTGGGGATTCAACGGTCAGTTTTTTTACTGCAAGAACACATTGTACAAACCCTTCACATGAAACCGTGAGGACAAAATTCAACGCGCGTATTTTGTGACCGAAGGCATGGAGTACTCTTTACGGTCAGCAAACCTCAAAATGGTTTAACAGACAGAATTGCGCATTTGTACAGTTTTTAATAACCGAGGACATTTAAATCTGATAAGCATACATGAAGGGATGAGTTGTGACAGAAGATGTAAGATTCCAGCAAAACGCGGAGGGGTGGTTGTTAGTTTGCTTCAGAAATTTTGAGATGTAACACTTTTGCACACGCCTTACGTTTCACTTCAGGTCTCTCTTTGTAGATCACGACACTCGCTTGGGGCCCTTAGTCTACATTTGGTGATGCTGACTCAGTGCTGAGTATACTCCTAACCATATGTGGAAGGGCAAATTGCGGGATAGGACTTCAGGCGCAATGGAAACCACCAATAACACTTTAACATCACTGTTGACCGACTGTAAATTTCGTAGCCGGAATTAATTTCTGGGATGTACGCATAGATCCGATAAGGAATTCTTTGTTTGCATGCAGCTGTATCTACACGTTTGATACCAGAGTTTTATCCATCAAGGTTACACGCTCTCCACACAGAATGACCGCAAATCATTTGGTCTTATGAGTACCGACCCGAAATTTCAGTGCTTTGCATTTGATTCCAAAATGTTCGTATC